CTCAATTCGATGGGCTGGGAGGTTCAGGGAAAGTGACACAGAGACATTCTTTTGGAATGGATACTTCTGTTAATATGTTTATGTCCAGCAATACAACACATGATCTTTTTAGAAAAATTGAGTAGCATAAAAGAAACAAGAGGAAACTAGACTAAGGGCATCATTTTACCACAAGTTAACCATTATTAGTGGCATAAATGTATTCCCAGGTTAGCAACATCTGCCTTAGGAACAAGGCTTTTATTGTTAAGTACAGTTGCCCTCACTTCAAAAACATTGAACCAACTGGTACCCCAAGCAAATTCATCACAATGGCCTTCATGTGCTGCATGCACATGTAGCTTCAAATCCTTCAAAATGCTCTCACCCTTTTGTTGCATAAACCAACAACAACAACAAAACCGGCTGCCATAGATTCCATTCCAGCTCATAGTGACCCTATCTATGGTTTCTAAGGCTGTAAATCTTTACAGGAACAGATAGACTCATCTCACACAAGCAGCATCTGATGGGTTTGAACCACAAAATTTCTGGTGAGCTGCCCAATGCTTACCCGAGAAGGTCACCAGGGCAAGGCTAATAAGAAACAGATCCATCTGTTCCTACTTACCTTTGTTGTGAGGTGACCTTGAATAGGCTCAAACCAACACTTCTCATGATTTTGCCTATTGGTCCATTTTTGAGGATTTATGTTTTCTTAATCTTGAGTTGTGATCCATATTAAAGGTTGTAGTCTTTGATCTCCATCAGCAAGTGCCTCAAGCCCTTCTAGCTTTTATCAAGCAAGCTTGTGTCATTTGCAGATCACGGGCTATTATGGAGTCCACCTTCAAACCTGATACTGCCTTCCTCTACTGTCATACACTTTCTCAGATTATTTGCTCAGCAGATTAAGAACGGTGAAAGGATACAACGCTGATGCACATCTTTCCTGATTTTAAACCATGCAGTACCCCCTTGTTCTGTTAATCATCTGTCTGATATCCTCTTCTGATATCCTCTTCTGGCAAGATCCATCCGACTTTAGCAATAAAAGTGCTTGCTCCACACTGTTCTGAATCTGACTTGAATTTCTGGCAGCTCCCTGTCAATATAATGCCCCATTCATTTTATAATTATCTCCAGAAAATTTTACTTATGAATTTGAGTTAGTTAGATTATTGTGCCAACCTGGCCAATAAACACATGTGGGATTAATTGAAAGGCGGAGGGATAAATGACTTGGTGAGCCTTGCCTTTTGAGTTCTTGGGTCTCTTGCTTTGTGATGGTCACACCAGGGTGCAGCTGCCTTAGCAGTTCCCAGCTTCAGCTTGCAAGACTGACTTCCTACAAGACATCCCCATGAAGAAGCCACATGGGCCTACCCCATGCAGCCCTGGGTGCTGGAGCAGCCATGTGGAGACCCCTGCCAGTGCTGAGATGCTTATAAATTCACTGACTCAGCTTTCCTCCTGCAGTTGACACCATTGCCTCTGTTTTATGAGATGGAGGACTTTGTGGATTGGTGTTGGACATATGGGTTAATGGGTTAATGTTGGACTTGTGGCCTTGAGCAGCATTGGGTTGGGATGTTTTCTTGATGCACACTTAATCTTTACATAAAACTCTCTCTTATACATGAGTTGCTATGGATTTGTTTCTCTAAAGTACCCAGACTAATACAGAATTATATTAATAATATTGTTGAACAATTTCTGCATTCTTTGGGGTCATGTTTCTTTGGATTGGGCACAGATATGGATTTCTACCAGTCAGCTGGTGAAATTTCTTAGCATAACATGAGTTAGTGCTTGCAGTGCTGCATCGATTTGTTGAAACATTTCACAGGGTATTCCAACAATTCCTCTCTCCTTGCTGTCGGACATATGGGCTCCTATCAGACTTATGGACTTCCTCTGGACTGGGCTGAGATGTTTTCTCAATATTCAATTGCTCTTGTATATCAAGTTCTTTCTGATACACATATGGGTGTCTATGCATTTGTTTCTGTATTCTACCTGGACTAACACACCCATGAATTCTTTAATATTGCAACTTGAGGCTTGACTTTTTTTCCAGTGGTGTCAGCTCAGTATATGTTGAGTATGTTCTTGCTTTTGGGTTTTCTAACTCCACGTCTTGACACAATTCATTATGATACTCTGTGTTCTCTAACTTTTGAAACTTAACTTCAACTCTTTCACTTCTTCATTTGTTCCAGATGCTTTAAGTATTCTATGTTCAAGAGAAAATCTCAGAGTTTCTCCTGACATCCTCTCTTTTATCCCCCCACCATCCTATTTTCTGTATTTTTCTTTCTTTTTTTGATCATTTTATCGGGGGCTCGTACAACTCATCACAATCCATACATACATCCATTGTGTCAAGCACTTTTGTACATTTGTTTCCCTCATCATTCTCAAAACATTTGCTTTCTATTTGAGCCCTTGGTATCCGCTCCTCATTTTGTCCCCTCCTTCCCCGCTCCCACCCCCTCTCCCCCATGAACCCTTGATAATTTATAAAGTATTATTATTTTGTCGTATCTTACACTGTCCGACGTCTCCCTTCACCCACTTCTCTGCTGTCTGTCCCCCAGGGAGGAGGTTATATGTAAATTCTTGTAATCTGTTCCCCCTTTCTCCCTCACATTCGCTCACCCTCCCGGTATTGCCACTCTCACCACTGGTCCTGAAGGGATCTTCTGTCCTGGATTCTCTGTGTGTCTGTCTTTTTAATGGTCTTTAACTTGCTTCATGTCTAATGTTGTTGATTTCATCCCATAACTCATCTGGTATTTGGCTGAGTTCAATGTTTCAAATCTGGTCTTGAAATGGTCTCTACATTCAGGATGGGTGGACTTAAAGGCATGTTTTTGCTCTTTTGGATTTGTTTTAATTTTCTTCTTGGTCAACCTGAATTTGTATATGAGCAATTGATATTCGAGTTCCACAGTGGGCACCTGGCCTGGCTTGGGCTACAGATATTGAGCTCGTCCTTACTCTCTTTCCACAGATGTAGTTTAATTATAATATGATTCTCGTGTATTCCATATAATGAAGTCCGCTTGTATAATCACCAGTTTTTTTGTTGCAAATAGATATTTTCAGTGAAGTGATAGGTCTTGCAAACTTTCCTCATGAGATATCCAGCTTTGTTTGGATCACTAAAGCCATATTTCCAATGACTAGACCTTTCTCTTTGTTTCCAGCTTACACATTCCAATCACTGATCATTATCAGTGCATCTTGATTGCATGCTTGATCAATTTCTGACCAAAGAAGTTGATAGAATTCTTCAATTTCTTCACCATGGGCTTTCATAGTTGCTGTGTAAATTTGAATAATAGTTGTGTTAACTGGATTTGTATAGGCATATCAATATTTTCCTATCACATCAGCCTTTTACTTCAAGATAGATCTTGAAATCTCCTTATTGAATTTGTTATTCCTGGAGTAGTATACTATTTGATTATCTGAGTAAAAATGGCTAAAACCTATCCATTTCAGCTCACCAATAACCAAGATATTAGTCTTTATGTATTCCATTTCATTTTTGATGACTTCCAATTTCCATGGATTCATACTTTGTACATTCTACATTCCTATTATTAGTGAATATTTTCAATTGTTTCTTCTCATTGTGAATCTTTCTCCAATAGCAGGCAAATGTCCCCAAAGCTTTGCTCCATCCAAATCCTTAAGGCCCACCCTACATTGAGGAGGAATCCCTTCCCCAGTTGTATTTTTGTGCCTTCCAACAGAAAAGACTAATTTTCTGGCCCTGTCTCAGACAATACTTCATTACTATTCATCATAGTTTTGGTAATCCCTCCAAAGTGGATTGCCTCTTCCATCCTCCTAATCGGTCCTTAGTCTGGTAGTGCCTCTGACGCTTGTTCACTGTGGAAGACCCTGCTGGTATTTGAAATATCTGTGGCGTAGCTTTCAGCATCACAGCAATCTACAAGCCACGACAGTAGAGAAAAATGACGGAAGAGTGAAACTGACTTACCTAGCCATTCTTACACACAGAGTTAGGAATGGGTCTCATTAGTAAACTGGGGATGGCTTGAATTTTATAAGGCTAACCACTACACTGATGACCTCAAACTTCATGAACAATTTTACAATACTATATTTGTTTTAACATATCCTGAAATCCTCTTGTTGTTTTTGTATGTGCCTAATATTCTTCTGCAAGTACGTGAACATTTCTTTTGCTTAATCACTTTTCTATTGATTATTTCCTCTTACAATAATTAGTGTATCTGTTTTTTCTTTCCTTAAAATAACACTCTGATGAATATCTCTGTGCATAAATATCGGTCTATATCTTTAACTGTTTCCTTAAGAAGGAATCCAAAAGGCCAATTACAAATTAAAGAGCATGATTATTTTTAAAACTCAATGTTTTTCCAAATGCCCTTTACTTTACTGCCCTCAAAGTAAGAGTTCAAGCCTTATGGAATTCCTCGGAGGAATTATAAATATGGTCAAATTATTTAGAAATGCTTGCACTCTTCTTTACACTCATATTTCAGTCTACAGTGTGTGTGTGCATGTGCATGTATCTTAGGAAGACACACACACACACACACACACACACACACACACACACACACCCCACCCTGAGCTTGCCTGGTACTTACCCACCCCCTCCAGCTGAGTCAAATGCAACTCCTAGTGACCTTGTAAGACATAACAGAACTACTCCACACGCATTCCAGGGTGATGAGTCTTTATTAAAGATTCCTACATATTCCTCCCCAAAGGTGGCTATTTGGCTCAAACCACTACACTTTTTGTTAGCAGTCAAGCACGTAACTACTGTACCATTAGAACTGCTCTAGTATTTAAAGTGGGCTGTATCTGTTGAGTTGTTGTTTTTCCCCTTTCTGTATTTCTGGTGATAGGATAATATGATAGGATCCTTTTTATTTAATGGAAGACAGGGAAGAATGACACCATTAAATAATTCATGTTTACCTTTTTTAATATCATGTTTTATTTGTTTTCAGGATTCAGCAAGACATGGTGTTGAACCCTGGGTCTAAGTCTTCTTGATTGAGGTACTCTCATAATACAACACGAAGGTAAATATTTGAGGCTGTCAGAGCCTTGCGGGTTTATGGACAATCTCTCTCCATTATGAAACTTCTCACTAATGAATCCGGCTTCTCTGGAAATAATAATGTTGTTCTCTTACTTAAAGCTCTAGATAGAAAGTTCACTGACCCTTTGGGAACTGGTGTCTAGGTGGCATCTGGCTGGTCGTCTTGGAGTTTGTGGTCGGAGAGAGGGAATATTGATTCTCTTTCCTCCTCTCTAAGTAGCAAGTAAATAGCTCAGGAGCGTTCCAGTTTCCTGCCCAGATTTCCACCTTTTCTAATAGATCGTTTGAGATGGGTTTGATTCAAACACTATAGTTACACTGTTCTCAAATGCCCTGCTTTCAATATATGAGTATTTACAGCTAGAAGAAACCCCTTCTTGATTACAAAGATAAAAATCAAACCGTAGATAAGATGAACGTGTCTACATGGGAAACAGACTTGGAGATTTATGAGTTTGAGGAGTAGGCAATGTTATTTTGAAGTCCTAAACTTTGAAATAATGGCAACACTGAATTATGTACTTTGGACCAGGAGCCAAGAAGACACAATGGAAAATGCCTCTTCTTTTGACAAATTAGAAGCATTCATTCCAATAGCAAGTTCTTGTTTATTGGGGATAATGCTGAATGAATCACAAACTAGTGGATGGATGTCCCTTCCCACACTTTTAATTAGCTGCACTGTCTATTAGGATGAACAGAGTGTTGCTTTTCTGTCAATAGATCACCCCTCCCCTCCCCTAAATAGAATAGAAATCTTATTCTTCACAAGGTAATATTCATCTCTTCCCCAGCTAGACAAGCATAGAAAATTAAACAATGGTCCATTAAAAAGCCCAGATAATGTATTTATCATTTCCAGTTTATGTGAGTTTGCAAGGCAAATACAAGTGGGAGTGATTTGTTACGGGACCTTGGGGAGAAAGTGGCCTGGCAAGGAGTTGGGAAGCTGGAGGATCTGAGACTTGTAACAATGCATTTTTAAAATGACGTGCTATTGGAGACAGAGGAAATTAATTACTGTGAGGGAGACAAATGTCACTACTCATTTAAGTGACCTGGCGAAGGGGAAGAGAAACCTTTTTTTTTTTTTTCCCCGGGTTTCTACAGTGGTGAAGCCTGGGTCTCTTTAGCTGTCAGTTTTGTGTGTGTGCATTTCCTCGGCGACTTATTGAGACTTTGGGCTGACTTGGGCCCTAGCCTCCTCGAAAGAGTAGGGTTAAATGACAAGTGGGGGGAAAGGCGGGGTCCTCTGCCTCCTCCCTGGGTGTGTTGGCCAGATTATTCAGCAGAGCTCATCAGGCATATAAATCACCGCAGGCCCTCCCTGGGGCAGCCTGTAATTTTCCAGGATGGGGAGAAGAGATCGTCTGAAGCTGGACTTAGTTTGATCTTTTATTATTGCTTTCCCATCCACAAAGCTATTCTCTGAGGTGGAGTGAATTTGGGAAGACAAATTAAGGTTTTCTACCTAAGGAGAACAGGGAGCAGTAGCTTCTGAAAGCAGTCATCTTTTCGAGATTGCCTGTCCAATAAATCTCTCTAATGCATTCTGCCTATAGACAGAGGTGGAGAATATATAGATGTGTGATACCTTAAAAGTTTAAAACGAGAAAGCACCCAGAGTAATGAAGTCAAACCTTCTCCGATACGCGCCTTACTTAGACCTAGGGATTCAAAGTCACATTCTGAACTCCACCACTAACTGGCCAAGAGGCCCAGCACGGGCCCTGATCATCCTAAACGATCCTGAATGAGCCTTACGCCATGTTCCATACAAAGCAGAAACAATAATCTCTCCCTTCTGTGATTACTAAGAAGACCCATGTGCACAAAAGCGGGTTGAAGCTGGGAACCATGCTGGCGTGAGTTAGCAGCAGCACCCATTTGTATACGCTGTCCTAAAAGTCTTGGTTTTTATATATTGAGTCAACTCAATGATTGGTGTCACTCCCAGGGTCAAGGCTAAAGACCGCAGCATTCTCCTGCTTGTTCTATTAGGATTCACACAATAAAGGAAGAGCACACGCTGTTCTGAGGCGATCTCATGGGAGAGACTATGCTATGCTTTGTGGGGAGTGTTCTGAAACACAGCTTTGAAGGGAATGCTGGATGTTCACCTAGGGAAGCAATCCCAAGGCGTTACCCACCTGCATGTGGAAAACTTCACCCCCTTGGAATGGAGACAGAGCATGAATTGCAGATGGTGGGGGAGATGTGTGAAGGCTATTTAAGTATTCCTGGGGAAAGCTAAGGATGAAGCAAACTAAGACAATGTCTATGGGGATGGAGAAGAGAGCACTTTCAAGGGCCTCTGAAAGACAGGACATCCAGGCTTACATGGCCAGGGGCAGAGGGAGTAATGGCAGCTCTAATGTTCTTGAGCACTTGCCATGTCATGAATGGAAATATGTGGAGAAATACAGGGTACAAAGCAGGTGGGGATACGGCCAGATGAGTAATGTGAGGAGAAGAAGGATGCTCTTGGGCTGACCTCAGGGATGAGCGGTGCTGCTGTGCTGGTGAAGATGGGGAGAGACAAGGCACTGCATACACAGGCGGGCAGTGTGCACACAGAATGCTGCACAGCGAGGCTGTGGTCAAGGTACACACCAGGCCTGCGACATCTCCTTAACATCCAGGCAAAACATGCATTTGGTGATTTCCAATGCCTGCTGTGCTTTACTGTCTCTTGGAAGTGGACTTGGGAACTCTTTGCCTGTTCTCATTAGCCAGCTCCATGATGGCCTAGGATCTGAGCTGCCCAGAGAAGGTTCAGACCATACCGCCTGGGGCTCACTGCAGAATAAATATAAAAGCTTCTCTCAAACAATTCCCTAGAGTTTGGTTTGTTTTTGCTACTGACTTTTTAGAATTACTTGAAAGTCTTCCACTGTCATATCTGAGATGTTGGTGATTTATTCTCCGGGCTAATTTAGATGTTTAGATCTTTATATTCGTTCATAGTCTGCTTAAGTGTGAAAGCCTGCATTCATCAGGTAAATGACATAGTGATAAAGCACAACTATTTTTTTCTCCGTCTTCTCCACATGCTCCAACTCCAACTTCTTACTCATTGCTTGGGTGCCTTCTCCTTGTCTGTTGTTATTTACCCCAGTTTACTCCGGGTATCCTTCTTCCTTCCATACACTAACACATGCTAATCAACCTAATGCACAAGGGAATCAGACCCTGCCCAGTTCTGTGCCATTCCCACGGAGAGTTGCACACTGCACCATCGTGAGCCATTGAACTTTCACTGGCTGGTTTTTAGAAGCATATCATCATGCCTTCTTATTTTATTCTAGTCTGGAAACTCCACTGTAATCTGTTCAGCATCATGGCAATATACAAATCTCCAGTGACAGACAAGTGCTGCCTAGACATGAGATTCAGTGGCCAAGTGAACCAAGACCTCCCACACAGAAGGCACAAATGATACCACCTAACCAACAATGTCCTGATGGTGTTGTGGTCACACGTTGGCCTGCTAATCACAGGTCAGCCATTTGGAGCCAACAGATTCTCTTTGGGAGAGAGAGAAGGCTCTCTCCTCCCAGAAGAGCTACCATCCCAGAGACCCACAGGGACAGTTCCACTCTCTCCTATAGGGTCCCTGTGAGTTGGCCTCGGCCTGATGGCAACGTGTTTGGGTTTTCGTTAATCATCAGTGCCCTCCATAATAATAATTCTTGCTATTTCAATATTTTAATACACCAGGTCCGATGCATTGGTGTTCGCCCACAAGGGTGGGAGGAGCTGGGGAGACTTTCCAGTGCTATATAGCTGGTCCCAAAGAAGGAAACCTTAAGAGACACAGCATTGACAGTGGATAAATCCCTGGTGTGCACAGAGCGCACTGCCCTCAAAAGTGTCGGGTGATGAGTCGTCAGAAGGCCCATGGGGTTTCCCGGACTTGTGCTGGGCCTTGAACGTGCTTCTGTCAGACAAAGTAGTCCTGCTCTGAGAGTGTGGTGCTTGGCCAGGGGCCAGCTAGACTAAACTGAATGGCTTTCCCCAATTCCCATTCCTGTGGGTCTCCACTTATGGTGGGCCACAGAAGGAGACTGCTGGGTGATTGGGAGGGTGGAAGAAAAGTAGGTGCCATGCTGCTGTTCAGGCGCTGACTCATCACTTAACATAAAGTAACAACAAGGCTCTAGAGCTCCCTGGATCCTCTTAGAGTTTCTCCCACTTCGTGTGTGTGTGTGTGTGTGTGTGTGTGTGTGTGTGTGTGTGTGTGTCTTGTGTAGTTCCCATTTTATCCATTAGGGAAGTTATGAAAACCAAGGTTCTAATTGATGTTTTTGGAGGTTCAGCCCATGCTTGAGGTCCCAGTCTGTTCCTGATCACTGCACTCTCTTTCCTGCCTACTTGCCTATTCGGTAGGATTCAAGCCTCCGAAACCTCCCTGGAGCTCAGTTCATCTCAAATATCAGAGTCCACTCAACAGCACCTTTGGATCTCTCCTTCACCCTCCCCATGCCTTTTAGAGACAATGCCTGGATTCTGAAGGTTGATGGGGTGTCGAGTGATTTCACAGGAAGGGGATGAGGAATTGTGGAATTCAAAATCAGAAGACCATTGCTCTAGCCCGTCGTCGTCGTCGTCATAGGTCTCTGGCTGCATGCGTTTGTTATCGGTGTCTAAAACCCTCAGTTTCTATAGCTGGGCATATAAGATGGTCATGTTAACCACTGGGCCCCTTGTTCGTGCCCCCAGTGAGCCCACCGCTGAGGCCTGCACAGCTTTAGATAGCTAAGACCCTTCTTCTACTTTTTTTATTAATCATGTTATTGGGGGTGGGGGCTCTTATAAATCTTATAGCAATCCATCACTCAACTGCATTAAGCACACTTGTACCTACATTGCCATCAACATTTCCAAAACATTTTCTTTCTACTTGAGCCCTTGGTATCAGCTCCTCTTCCCCCACCCATCCTTCCTCCCCCTTGGGAGTCTTTGATCACTTATATATTG